ATGTGACCCAGGGTAAGTCCTTGTGACTTATTGTGAAAGCAAATACTGGGACATATAGAATTAATATATAAATAGAATAATTTAAGTTGTTTTGTTGTGATATATTACACATGCATTTCAGTTTAAATATATTTTGTAAGTAAGAAATGTATTTAATAGTAGAGTTGCATCAATTTGAGGAAAAGCATGTATATAAAGCATATAAAAACACTTTACAAAATGTATATTTATTTGCAACAACTGAATTAACAGCAATAATAAGACTACTAAGAAGAACAGATAATGGGGTGATGGATGCTGCGCTGTCATGGTAACAATCCAGGTGAAGATAATGACTGTCTTTTATTGCTCCCTTCACCAAGTGTGCTCCAAATTGCTACATTCTGAGACACAATTGCCCCGCTCCCTCCAAAGTCCTCACTTCAAGGGCTCTGCACTTCGGAGAAAGTATGGTGTAGAGATGCTCACTTCTAATTGGAATTTGCCCCTCGCCAGTTACTTTGTCTTTTTTTGCCCTGCCTACAAAAACTGTGTGAAAAATGTCAAAGTAGACCCGCGTCTCTGAGCAACACAAAGTGAATCAGCTTTTTTGAACAAATCAGTTGAGTGAATGATTCAATGACTTACTCATACTGCACTTGTCGCCACCTACTGCGTAATGATGTAACCTGCAGAAAGAGTCACTGAAAAATCCCCACCATTAATGCACAGACTAACAGTCTGTCTGGAAGAGTGGATTGGATTTGTTGGCCCAGCACATCTCGGATTGAGATCTGGGGAGTTCAACACCTTGAACTCTTTGTCATGTTCCTGTACTGTACAATTTTTTCAGTATGGCAAGGTGCATTATCCTGATGAAATAAGCCACTGCCATAAGGAAACACCACTTCCATGAAAGAGTGTATGTGGTCTGCAGCAATCTTTAGATTAGGCGGTACGTGTCAAAGTAACATCCACATGAATGCCAGGACCCCAGGTTTCCCAGTAGAACATTGCCCAGAGCATAACACTGCCTCTGCCATCCTGCCTTCTTCCCAATCCTACTGGAATCTTTTCCCAAGGATAATGGCGCACATGCACCCAGCCATCCACCTGATCTAAAAGAAAACGTGATTCAGCAGACCAGGCAACCTTCTTCCACTGCCCCATAGTCCAGTTCTGACACTCACATGCCCATTATAGGTGCTTTCGGAGGTGGACAGGGGCCATCATGGGTATGCAGACCCATACACAGTCCCCCTCATGCAATCCCCCTCGATGCACTCTGTATTCTGAAAGCTTTCTACCATGGCCAGCATTAGGTTTTTCAGTAATTCTGTTCTGTGTGATCGGACCAGACGCATAGGCGTAGCTTGACGTTTGAGTTTGGGGGGGGGGGGGGGGACACCAACCGGAACATCATTATATTCCACACAACAGGCAAGCATTACCATTAAGTCTATTATTCACCAAAATGCAGATTCGTCACGTGACAATTCTTACGCAAATGAGATTGAAGGAGACGTTAAGTTTGTTTTGATTTATTAATTTACTTACAATAACAATTTAAAATGTATTAACTTTTACATGTATTATTAACTGCATTATATACATTTTTACTTCATAGAAAAAACTTTATAAAATAAATTTTTAGTAAAATTATTAAATCGCTATGCCCATGCCAGACAGCCTTCGCTCCTCACAGCCATCAGTGAGCTGGTTGTCCTTCCTGGCACCACTTTTGGTAGGTACTAACCTCTGCATACTGGGAACACGCTCAAAACTTTTGGAGATACTCTGACCCAGACATCTAACCATCACTGTTTGGTCCTTGAGAAAAGTCACTCAGATCTTTTCACTTTCAACACATGAAATTCACGAATGAACTGTTCACTTGCTGCTTAATATATCTCACCCCTTGTCAATGTAATGTTATAATCAATGTTATTGACTTCACCTCTCAGCGGTTTTAAAGTTGTGGTTGATTGTTGTACTGTATATCAGGCACTCTTCGAAAGATGCTCAGGCAATCAAATTTGAGTACTGGAACTAACTGGGAAACAAAAAATCACTCTACTTATGAAGAACCGTCTTAAATTTGCTTCTGTAGTGTTTACTCTTGGTGGAACAAGAGTGGATAAAGATCCTTACATGCCATTGTAGATAGGCGTTTTACCCAAACAACTGCAGTTTTGTACAGGTAATGTTTAGATTATGCATTTTCATTAGACTGGAAAAAAATGTGTATTGATTTGTCATCTAGCCATTTTATATACTGGCAGCTCAGCAGTGATCTGATCAATCTTTTAACAGTTTTGGCATCTTAATGACATGAAAGTATAGGCTGCATTTTTCTTCCCCCAGTAGACAGTGCATACATAGTTTGTCACGGATTGTAAGCTGATTCATTTAACATGTTGTCCTCACAGTCCTTGACTTTGATCAGTATCATTCTTAGCAGAGTCAGCAGTCATTCATGTTAATGGAATTTTCCTCAGCAATACTAAAGCATAATTTTCTTCAATTACCGCAGAATGCTTTTTAAAATCTGGAGTAGCCTGCTATTTTAATATGATTATGATTTTGGAAATCTAAAAAACAAAAATCTTTTCATGCGCTTTTAGTATGCAAAATAGTTCAACATCAGTGAGTAATATATCAAAGGTAGTTATTGCTTGCTGGGTAGAGAAAATATACACCATCTGCTCCTCCCTAACCACACACCTTTATAATTCCATTTATGTTCAGTAACATCAAAATTCAAACTTAGAAACAGAACAGCAGATGTGTATAGAATTTTGCTGCATACAAATCTCTTCATATTATACCACCCCTTGACAGGTGCCATTGTAACAATATAATCAACGTTATTCGATCACTGCACCTGTCAGTGGATTTAATGTTGTGTCTGATCAGTGTACAGCAGATGTGAATTGTTTTTGATTATATCAAGTTATATTTGCCTTACAATTTATTGTACTGTACACACAGTCTAGTCGTGACCAGAAAGAAGGGGATTTAATATGGCACCACATTCTGATTCTAAAAATGTCTCTGTGGACAGTCAAATTTATATTTTCTATTAAAGCTGTCTGTCCTGAAATATTGAACTATGATCTAATCCAAAGGGCAGCACCTCAAACTCAAAACAAGTTATAAATGTCAGCTTGCAAGAGGTGCAATATAATATAATAATGTGATGTTATGGAAGAGACATGCAATTTTGGTAGCACAAGTTAAAACGTATAAATAAAAATGACTTGTGTTCTCATTTTCAATTTACTACATATATTAATGTAGAATTCTGTACTGTGCAGTGTTGACAGTATCTGACTGGTAAATCACCACAATTTCCCTCATGTGATCAATATAATAATTCACACGTTATGTGATAAGGACATCTGTGGAGTATTATAGGCCCTATATGTGGTATAATTTTGCTGAAATTATTAAAAGATGACATGACATGATGTATTAATGTACACTGATACACCAGCAGATACTTCAGTGCACTGGAGGATGTCCTTGCTTTGCACTGCAAGAAAAAAATGTGCAGTATGCATTTATTTCCAACAACAAAGATATATCATAACTGATGTTGCATTAACTAAAACTATTAAAAATAGTACTAAAACAATTGTTTTTTTTACATTGAAATACCACCTTGGTAACTAAATAAAATAACACAAATTGAAGCACAAATATGACTGTACTAAAATTGAAATAAATATGAATAAAAAAAAATGGGCATATTTAAAATCTACTATAAAACTTACAAAATCACATAAAATGTAAACTCAAATTAAAGCTTAAAATATAGAAAAGCCAAATCAAAATATTAATAAATACTATAACTGTGTGTGTGTGTATATATATATATATATTAGTGTTGTCAAACGATTAATCGCATCCAAAATAAGTTTTTGTTTGCATAATATATGTATGTGTGCTGTGTATATTATGTATATATATATATATATATACACACACACACACATGCATGTATATATTTCCAGAAAAATAGGTTGTTTATATATTAAACATTTATTTATAATATAAATTTTATGAATATAAATATAGACATGTAAATATTTTAAATATATATACTGTATGTGTGTATTTATGTATACACAATAAATATACACAGAACACACACATATGTTATGCAACCAAAAACGTTGTTGTATGCGATTAATCATTTGACAGCACTAATATATATATATATATATATATATACACACACATACACACACACACACACACACACACAGTAATAAACACTAATCATATCATGCTGGAGAAATAGCATTATTATTAGGTAAAGAGAAGATGACTATAAATATGTCTACAGCTACTTTATAGTTAAACTAAACTCAACAACAAAGCCGCTTTTGATGTCAGTTAATGCAAAATGGATTGGCATTAATAAAATGGATAAATTTCAGCGAACAAATTTGAAAAATAGTCATGATGAAACACTCGTTGTGCATTGTATCATCAGATAGTATAACAAGTCTGGATTTTCTTCTCAAATCCTCTCAATTAGACCTTAACCAAACTTCAGGGGAGCTTTTCAGACAGAGTTTAAAAGAAAAGGTATTGATTTAAGAGTCCTGGGCAGACCTGTATTGAGTTAAAACCTGAAATGATTGAGAATTAGATGCCTGCTCATTACATGTCCAATAAAAGTAGACATCTGTATTAGACAGTCTGCATATAAATCTCTACATATTATACAGCTTAATGCTTTCAGGCTGTAATTTATCATTCCTTACCAATAAAGTCTGCTGCAATTCTTGTGTGTGAGTAAACAGCCAAAAGGCCACTTATAGAGAACAGAAGTACACAAACAAACATTTGTAAGGCAGAGTGAACTTTAGTAAAGTAGTAAGAAAAAGCAATGACATACAGTAAAACGGAGTGATTAGTTGTAATGTTTCTAAAAAGAAGAAAAAAAAAAACTCAAAAGGATAAAAGAAATCAGGTCATTATAATACATACAATAAAATGATACAGCTATTCTGTGTTAAGGATAAAACATCAATCATTTTGTGTCTTGAAACAGTAAAAAAGAAAGAAAAATGAGATACAGAAATCAGAAATGTAACAAAATACATATGGTACAGATGCCCTTGTATATTATTTACAAAGCTAAAAAGCCAGTGCATAAACATTCTGAAAAATATAGCATTAAAAAAAAAGGGAAATTCACATGGCATCCCACTAATCACTGAACTTGGCAGTTGTCGTTTTGTTTTGGAGAGGCACTGACCCGTTCTTGTTTCTCCGGGGTCTTTTTGAAGCTGCGAGAGCGCCTGCTAATTTTCTGCTCTATAGCAGGCACTGGGCTTTCACAGCTGTTTTCCTGTGGACTGTTGGTCAGTGGAGATAATACAGCCGCATTGCTCTGGATAGCCTTAGGCACCTGGACCTGAAAGTACATGAACATGATGTCAGGAGCGAGCAATGTTGGGCTGCCAAGAATGCCCAGCGGCAATATCAGTGTTCAAAACAATTCGTATTATACACTTCTCTGGGGAAGTGTCAAGATGTGGACAAGTGCAAATGCATAAATATAAGATCTTGCAATCAATTAATCTTCTCTCCTCTCCAAACCTATACACCCAGCATGTACTTTAAGGAGAAGAACAAGTGCTGAATAGTAATTGAAAACTGGCTGTGCTGCAAGCTGACTAATGGTTTGCTCATCCTCCCCATGCACCCTGCCAACGGCTCGCATCGGTCTCACTTGAAGCTTAGCTGTTCATTAAGAACTTCAGCTTTTATGATCCATTAAATAGGTCCGCCAATTGTAGAACACCTTTAACTTATGGTGAAGCACTTGCTATGGAATTAAGGGCCAATTTTTTGAGGGTCTACGTTCAGAAATGTTTATACAATGTTTCAAAAGTATAGCCAATAGATTAACTTATATTGTAACGCTATTCACTTACAAGTACCTCACTGTAACTCATATTCTTGCTTGCTATATTCTATTTTTGTATAAACAAAAAATAAGTGACAAGTCTAAATTAATTTTTGTGGTAATAAATATTATGCCAAAAGTACTGTAGATTAAGCTTAACTTGTACTGAACCCAGAGTACTCCTTTAAATTTTACACATGGAAGCAGGAATGCAGAACTTCAGCCTTCATAAAAGCTTAACTACATTCTGAGTCAGGTATTCAAGGTGGTGAATCGTATATCTGGGGCATAAAAGTTACTCTACAGCATGTGGTCCTGACTCCCCTTGAATTCTTAAAGAATAACTGGGAAAATCTCCAGGAAATGGTGACCTGGGGTAAGGGGACACATGATTAGAACTTTGAAGGAAGTTAAAAGCTGACAGGAGAGCTTTAATTCTTCAGAGCACTTAACTTCTTTCCATCTAATCTGAAATGTCATGCAGAGTTTCATTTGGAAATGCATTCATGGTCAGTAATTTTAAGAGCGGTAAATGAGTTAACTACAGACTGCAGTAACCTTTTCTGAGGGTCTGTGATGCCCTCCCGTGGTTAAAGAATGACTAAATGTTTATTCTGGTCTGCTCTTACGATTTGGTATTACTGTACTGCTAATACTGTTGGCTGTTTATGACAAATTGCTTGTATTTTTCCAAACCTGTAAGTTGCCAATCCAGTATTGAACATTTTGCCAATCTTTGACACATTGCATGAAACCACCATGGTTATTATAATTCACTTAAAAAAAGTTACTTAAAATAAAAATGTTAAATAATATTTAAAACTTGAAATTATATAAAAATGTTTAACTTAAAATAAAAAGGTATAATATATATATCAAAAACAATTAAAAATGATGAAAACAACAAAAATTACTACTATACATTTTTTTTTTAATTATACATCTGAGCCCTATAATGAACATCATAAAATAAGAAATATTAGATCTTCCTATTTGCTTGTGCACAATGGAATATTGCCATTGGAAGATTCATATATACAGTTTTTAATATTACACAGACATTGGTATTGGAATCAATACTATCATCATCAATTTGAATCTTATTTTGCACTTATTTCAAGGAAAAGTTTATATTGAAGAAGTTTCTTCATTGTTCACTTTAAAAGATGTAGTTGCAGGAAATACACAGAGGCAGTTCTACTCACAGTGTTTGAAGTTCTGCCCTCTGCTGTCTGTTTGGAGATTTGCACAGGATGCTCTGCTGAAACTGAGCTCTGCTGAGCCACAGTCATTCGGGCGGCCAGACGAGGGCTGCAGCGCTGCACTGTGGTTCTGCGAATGATGAATGGACTCATCTCTCCAACTGGAATATCTGCAAAACCTGTACAGAAAGACGTGATGTAGATGTGTAAAAATAGCAATCAATAAAACATTCCTTTCTTGTGAAAGCTTTGTTGAGAATAACTCGTATGAATATGAATGTACCCTTGATGTGGACTATAGAGAATGACAAATTGCGATAACCTCTCACCTTTCTGAACAAGTTCAGGCAAACCCTCTGGTTTGAAATCCTCATCGTCTACATCTAGTGTGGCTTTAGGTGTGGCAGCCGCAGCTTTCAGTCTCTTGGTGATACAGTGCAAGGCTTCCTGTGCTTTGTTAGGAGTGTCATCTGCTGCTCTCGGTCTCTTTCCTGCTGGCACGTTTGCTTTGTCTTCCACTGGTTTACTGTTCTCCAGGTCAGTCTTCTCAGACCTGAGTGACCTCCTGGTCTTGGGGGTCTTTGTCTGGGTGCTCAACTGCTTGAGCTGGTTCTTGAGGCTTTCATTGGTCTCTTCGAGCTTGTGAACTTTGACCATGAGGCTGCAGTATCGGTCCATGCTCTCATCTGCTTCACGGCTCTTTTCCTCCAGAGCTTCCCTCAGCTCCTGTAGTTCTTCCTGCCGGGCGACACTACTGCCGGCATCACCTGTTAACAAGAAAGATGCTCTGTATTTCCAGATACATTTATTCATTTTAGTTATTGTTTCTTTGTCTAACACTTTTCAACTTGTAAGATGACAGTCCAATGCAAGTTAAGTTTACTATTAGACCAAGTGCTTATCTTCTTGTTTTGTTCATACCTTGTTTCTGTGAGGCCTGCAGTGCTGCTATCTGTTGTCCCTGCAGCTGAAGTTCTTCCTGAAGTGCCTCCTTCTCACTCTCCAGCTGTTTGCACGACTTCATCCACAAATTGATCTTACTCATAGCACTGTCCTTCTCTTTGGACAAGCGCACAACCTTTGAGTCTAACTCTGCCTACCAATAAATATGACGGTTAATTATTTTACTAAAACTTGAATATTGAACAGAATTTAAAAATATTTATTATATATTACAGGAATGGGGAAAAAATAAAAACAATACCTTTTCTTTTTTACAAAGTTCTAATTTGTTTTGTAACTCCTTGAAGGTAGAGTCCACATCTGCATTTTGAGACTTGAAGCTATTGAGGTCTGATAGATACCGTGCAGCCTTTTCTTCAACCGCCATACTTTCTTCCTTCAGTTTATTAAGCTCCATCTCATTCTGTAGAGAAAAACAGAGAAGAACTTGATCAGAAATACAGTAAAATGAGAAATTATTACAGTTCAAGATAACTCTTTTCTATTTAAAAAAATTTAAGTTTTAATTCTTATTATTATGCATTGTTACCATAACACCTCTTGCAAGAACGCAGTCCTACTCTCATAAAAAGCACATTGTTGCAGTGTTACATCTGCCCACCTGCTGCTGTACACGTTTCAGGTTCTCCTCATGCCTCCTGTTGTTTTCCTTTATCTGAACATCATGACTTTCCTGAATATCGGATACATTTTTCTGTAGGCCATCTTTTTCCGTTGTCAGTGCTTCTAAGCTGAGCTGGAATGTGCAATAAAATGGAGTGTAAGCAGAGACTGAACATTCATGAAGCCAGTAAAACATGGTAAAGGAGAATTCATACCTTGTATGTCTCGATTTGTTTTTGAGACTCCTGCAGTTGACAAGTCAATAGATTTTGATTAATCTCCAAAGCATTCTGTCTTTCCCTTTCCTCACACAGTCGTTGCTGATGTTGTGTTTGGAGGTGCAAACTGCTCTCATGCAGTGCATTTAACTGAAAAGTAAAATGAATAAATTAATATGTGAAATAAAAACAAGAACAAAATAAGAACAGCTAAAGATGACAAAAAAATACCTTTTCTGTTACTTCGGAGTTCATGAGCTTCATAGCATCAAGTTGGCTCTCCAGATGCTGGATATTATTCTCCAAAGAAGTTACACTTGTCTGCAATACCTCTATCTTGGTAGACTGTATCTGTGCCATCTCCTCCAACTGTGCAATAGTAGACTGCAACTCAACCTTGTCCTTTTTCAATTCATCTCGCTCTTCTTGACTTGAAGATAGTGCCTGCAGCTCAGCTATTTGTGACTGAAGTTGTGCGTTTTCTTTGCTAAGATCCCGCTGCTTGTTTTCTAAGTCTTTCAAGAGCAACTGTTTGGATGAACGAAGCTCCGCTTGACACCTTTCATATTCAAGGACTCTCTGGGAAAACTCTTTGTTTTCTGATTGCAAAGACAGCAAATGAGTGGTCAAATCCTGTGCTTTCTGTTCTTTCGATTCTACTTCTCTTCGACAGAGTTGAAGTTCCTCCTCCATGGCATCAACTTTTAAATGGAAGTCCTCAATTATCTGTTGCTGGTTCATTGTTGCCTCTTCCACAGATTTAAGCTTTTCAGTAGCTGCTTGATTGGACAACTGCAATTCATCAATTAGGTTGTTCTTTTGTTGAAGTTCTTGCTCAAGTTTATATTTCTCCTCCTTGAGATCTTTCAGCTCACTGACCATCTCTTCAATTTTCTTGGTAAGCTCTTGTGTTTCAGCCTGTACTTCCTCGAGCTCAGCTTTGGCAGTCTCTGCTTGAAGAATGGCATCCTCTAGATTCTGGTCAGAAAGTTCTTTATCTCTCTCCAGCTTTTCAATGCTGTCCTGAAGAACATCTGTCTTCCTCTGGGCAGCTTTGAGCAGCTGACTCATGTGGTTCTTTTTCCGTTCATCAGATTCAATTCGTACCTTCAGTTTTTCAATGCCCTGCCTCATCTGAGCTACCTCCTCCTGAGTAGAAATCAACCTAGAGGCTATTTCACCTTTCTCCAAAAGGGACGATTCAAGTGATTGGGACAGCCTGATATTCTCATGCTCAAGTGAATGGATTTTGGAAGACATGTTTTCAGACTCTCTTGAAGCAAAATTCTCATTGCTCTTTAAACCATTAAATTCACTTAGCAGATTTTTGTTGTCTTCATTCAAAAGAGCCACTGTATTCTCAAGGTTTTGAGACCATTGAATGAGTTGCTCTTTTTCTTTCAGCAGAACATCAATTTGGTTAGCTGTCACCTCGTTTTTTCTTTTCCCAATCCTAATGTCCTCTTCTAGCTCTTTTATAAGTTCTCGTGTATCGGTTTCTCTCTTCTCCAGAAGCTCAACCTTTTCTTTCCACTTCATTAAGGAGAGATTTTCACTTTCCCTTTCATCAGCACACAAAATAAGCTCTTCTTTAAGCCGCCCACCTTCTGCCATAGTTATATTAAGTTGTTGTTCAAGGCTGCAATTTGTCCTCCTAGCTGCTTCAAGCTCTGCTGCTTGCTTCTGCTTCTGTTCTTGTATCTCTTCTATGTCAGCCTCCATGGACAGGATGTGCTTCTCTAAATTAGCCTTCTCCGAACGCACTCTTTTTAGTTCACTCTCAATCTGGAAAAACTTCTCATTCCACTCACCTTTTGCCATCTCTAAGCTTTCCATCATCTCCATAACATCTGAGAGCTGGCATTTGGAGGTCTGCAACTGTAGTCTAAGTGAATCAATCTCTTCTGTCAACTCTCCAATGTGGTTGTTCAGTTTCTTGTTTTCTTGAGTAATGGACGTCAACTTGTCTGTGCCGTTTGTCTTTTCGATTTCAATTTCACAAATTTTGCCCTCCAAGTCCAAGCACAAATCATTTCTAGCTGCCATTTCAGATTCCAAGACTTCAAACAGGGACTGCAAATGAACAAGCTCCGCTTCTCGCTTTGTTAGAGTTTCCTTAAGTGTTTCTGGGCTAATATCTGGAGTGAAGTCTGACGGTTCAGGTTGATGCAGTATGTTCTCTTGTGCTTCATGTGTCATTTTTTCCATTTCCTGATCAAGATGGGAAAAAAATATGAATACAAATGAAGAGAAATTAAATAAAATAGATTTCTGATATAAGCAGTGCTTTAAACTCATATTTTACCAAGGTACATTTTCAAAATGCAGCAATTTAAAGGTGCAATCTGTCATTTTCTAATTTATTTTGTATTGGTGCCATAGTAAAAATGTGCAGATCAGTCAGTCATGATCAATTTACTTCAAAGTAAAAAACACCTTTAAGTAAGCTTTATGTTGTGAAATACATAGATTACCTGGGAGGGTTCAGTAGCCAGCAAGGAGGATGATGCAAGGTCCAATTCCTGCAGTTGTTGCATGGTTGCCTCCAGTTGTGAGGACAAGATCTCTGTGTGTTGCTTTTCTTCTTTAAGTTTGGCCTCCAACTCATTTCTGATACGGAGCATTTGCTCCTCCATTCTCTGGAGCTCTTTAGCATGCTGTAATTTGAGTTGTTCTATTTTAATTCCTGTTTGCTCCTCCATGGTTCTGATAGTCTCCTTAAGAACATGAGACATCTCCTCAAGCTCCCTGGATTTATTTTGCATTTGATCTTTCAGCGGTATATGTTTGCCATCCTCATCTGATGGCAATGACGTTTGGGCCTCTTCTTGTGAATCAAGATGCTCTCCAGGTGATGAAATACCCAGGACAGCAATATCTTCTTCAAAGGGCAAAATAGATGTGTTAGCAAATGGCATTTCACAAATATCTTGGTCATTCTCATCTGCAGTTTGCTCTTTTTTCAGTGTGTCTGCATCAGAGTTTGCTGCAAGAATCTTCTCAGATTGAAGTTGTTCTATGTATGTTTGCTGTTCTGCAATTTGAGATACCAGAGAATCGTTTGACTGCTTGAATTGATCTATTTGCTCACGGGAATTCTGGGCATCTGCTTTTGATTCCTGAAAATCGGATTCCAACTTAAGCTTTTGTTCCATAAGATTGTTGTACATTGCTTCAAGGTTTGCCTGCTTACAATTCTCTTGCTCAAGGGAATCTTTAAGTGTTTCATGGGTTGCATGTAAAGACTCCAACTCCGTGAATAATGCAGAACTGGATTGTTGTTCTTCTTGTGTTTTCTCCAAACACGCAGATAGCTGTGACACTTCAAGTGCGCTTTTTGCATAGTCTTCTTTGACGGACTCGAGCTCTGCTTGTAGGATGGACCTCTGTGCCTCACTCTCACCTAACTTTGTTTCAAGAACACTGATATTGCCTTGCAGTGCCTCTACTTGTGCTTCAAATGAATTGATGCAGGTTTCATTATCTTCAAGATCCATCTGCAACATTTCAAGCTGTACTTTGATTTTGTTCACGTTAATGTTTTTTTCGTTCAGTGCTTCTAACGCTTTAGCTTGCTCAGATCGAGCCTCCTGAAGTTTTCCTTTCAAAGTTTCAATCTCACAGGATTTTGCAGCTTCTTGGCTTTTTAAATCTGCCAAAGCAGCTTTGAGACTTTCTATCTCCTGCTCATGCGGATATGCACTTTGTTTCAAGTCTTCAAGTTCCTTTGCAACTTTCTGATAGGAATCAGTGACCTCCCTGAGTTGGTCCTTAGATAAGTCAAGATCTTGCTTCAACTTTACCTTTTCAAGAGCAGCCTCCTCTAGTTTCTCTGAAGCATTTCTGGCCTCTAGACATTTACTCTGTAATTCTGCTCCAAGTACACTGATGTGCTCCTCTAAACTCTTTTGTTTTTTAAGGTGAGTTTCAGTTTCAGAGACATGAGTTTCAGATTCCTTGTTGTGTCTTTCAGTGAGCTTCTTGATACTTGTCTCGAATAACGCTTTTTCTTCAGATATGTCTTGTACATTTTTTTCCAGACTTAAATTCAGCTCTGCAGATAAGTCGAACTGTTTTTGAAGACTTTCTAGTGAATTCTTTAGTGTGGTGGACAAATGATTTGAGGCCTCAAGCTCAGTTTGCATTAACACAATATTTTCTGCCACTGCATCTTTTTCAGCAAGTGCTCCTGTAATTTCAGAAACCTGTTTAAGAAGATTTTCTTTCTCTTGGCAAACAACATCATGGAATTTCTGGAGGCTTTCACACTTCTCAGCTAGATCATTAGCTTTATTTTCGACCTCTTGTTGTTTCACTTTGAGTAGTGCATTATCATGCTCTAAGCTTGATGCCTTCCTTTTTTCTTCTTCTATATCTTTTGCAAGATTCTCAGCTATTGTCTTCTGAGTTTCCAACTCGGTGGCGGTCTGAACTTGTAGTTCCTTTACTTCTTCCAGGGAACTTCTGGTTTCTTCTGCCTCAGAAACAAGACAATTAAACTGCTCTTCAAGAGAACAGAATGACTTATTCTTTTGTAGCAGAGATTCAACTTCAAGAATAAGATCTTTTTCCCTCTTTTCCACTAAAGACACTTTCTCTGCTAGATCTTCTCTGACTTTAGAAATATCATCATACTTTCCTTGGATATCTGCATTTAAATCTTTTTGACACTTTAGGTCTGATTCCAAGAGGGCAATCTTCTCAAGTACCTCCTGCAGGGATGTTTCCACATTCAGTTTTTCTTGCTCCAGCTCTTTGTTTTGTACAAGGCGGTCTTCACATTCTTTAGCTAACATGTCTTTCTCCTCTTTAAATTTCTCTAGCTCTTGCTCTCGCAAGGCAATGGTTTCCTGAAGATGCTCAATCTCAGTTCTGTTCATTTCAATAATAGAGTCCTTTGATTTAGCCAGGTCGCAAGCACTTTCATATTCAGCAAAGAGTTGACCATGGGTCTTCTCCAATCCTTCCAACTTACTTGTTTCTTGATGCAGTTTAGCTTCAAGCTCACGCACCTGCTCCTGCATCAGAGTGATTTGTTGCTTCAAATTGTCCATTTCCTTATTATGTTTTTGATGTGTCTCACGTAACTGCTGTTGAAGCTCCTCATATACTCTACCTTTTTCCTCCAGCTCCACACATTTTACAAGCAGTTCACCTTTGAGTGAATCAATCTGACCAGATAGGCAAATCTTCTCATTTTCTAAATCCTGCATCATTTTCTGGAGACCATCATGAGCATAATTGAGTTTGGCTTTATCATTCTCCAGATCTGCAATTTTACTCAGCATTTCTTCACGGTTGGATTCAGTGTTATTAATCAACTGTTCCTTTTCGGTTTTCCACTGCAGAAGAGCCTCAAACTCTTTCTTCGTCTCAGCAACTTCTTTCTGACAGGCGTTTGAGGTCATTTTGAGGTCTTTATTTTCTTTCTCCATCGCACATATCTTATTAGCTTTGAGTTCAACTTCATGAACTAGTTTTTGCAACTCGGCCTGACTCTTCATATTCTTTGCTTCCGTTTCAGCCAGAGTTTTCTTGGCATTTTCCAATTCTTGAGCAGATGATACACTTTGATGGTCCAATTTTTTGCGAAGCTCAGTCAGTTCTTCACTCTGGGTTTGTGTCTTAACTGAAAGTAGCATGTAAAAAAAATGATAAGATGAAGTATTTCTTTAGATTCTTTTTGAAATCTTTGTTTTTAAAGTGTTATATTGCAACACATTTAATTGGTACATTTTTAATAAACTTTTGTAACATACCTTTTAAATCATCCACCATTGTACGGCTTTTGGCAAGGTTTTGCTCAGTATTTTGTTTTTCCTCTTCAAGTTGTTTGACCCTTTTCATTCCTTGATCTAACTGACAACTGAGAGTATTCTTCTCTCTCTGCAACTCCTAGGACGAGAAGAAACAACACATTCAAATGCTGGCATGCTCTGCATACTCTATAAAGTAAAATCTGTTATTATTAAATGAAGGGGTCATATGATGCGATTTAAATTTTTCCTTTCTCTTTGGAGTGTTACAAGCTCTTGGTGCATAAAGAAGATCTGTAGAGTTGCAAAGACTAAAGTCTCAAATCCAAAGAGATATTCTTTATAAAAGTTAAGAGTCAGCCACGCCTACCTAAAGCGGCTCGTTCTAACACGCCCCCACATATCTACGTCACGATGTGGGAAGATTTGCATAACACCGCCCAAACGTTCACGCAAAGAAAGAAGGCGTAACTTTTATTCTCGCTGTAGTATTGTTGTTGCCGCTGCCGCCATGTCGTGAAGGCGCTGTGTGTTTCGCTGTGAGCAGTGCTTTCGTTGTGCTTGGGCAACTACTTTGTTTGGCCTTCCAAAAGAGGACGATATCTGCTTCGTCATGCCTGGAGCTGATCCGGTTCTTTTTAGCAACATCATATGACCCCTTTAAATGAAAACAACCAAACTAATACCTTATCTTATATAACAGACACCCATGCAACTTACATCAAATTTCTTCTTTAATTCTGTCTCCTTCACTTGACTGGCCTGCAATGCCTGTTCAGACCTGAGAAGTTTCTGTTTCAGCTCCTCCAAATCTTTCTCCAGTCGATTCTTTAGAGCAGTTACCTTTGAAACCAGTGACATTTTGTTGTGATTATGCATGTTTGGGATAAGTAACTCGAAAAGAAACGAAGAGAGGAAATATAATGAACAGAAACGTGTCATTTATACCATGCCTAAAACATTATTCATAGCTGAATTTTCAAATTACCTTATCCACATCTGACTGCAAAACATTGTACTCTTTTTTGGCTTGCTGGATCTCCATACTCATTTTATTTTTAACCTGGTTAAATTGCTGATCAAGAGCTTGATGGGAGCTTTGAAGTTGTGCAAGTTCCTGAAATGAGCGAAAGGACAAACATTTTTTAGTTTTAACTCATCCAACATTCAGAAATATAAAATATATGTTAAATGAATTATATTTGACAGTAAGACAAGACCTTTTGACTCTCTCTCTCCTGGTCCTTGATTTTCTGCTCCAAAGATCTATGCATGCTTTCAGCATTATGTCTCTGACAGTTCATCTCCTCTGTTACCTGCTTCAGCTTCATCTCAAGAGATGAACACTGAGGAGCCAAATCAACCAAAGATTAACTACTATATTCACATGAATTAACCTATTGTTCAACCAAAAGACTGAACAACACACAACATATAAAATACATACAGTGGCCTCTAAAATTGGACACCTAACGTTTGAATATCTTGATACATTATACATAAAATATAATCAATTTTAAAACATCAAGCCAAGTGGCAATTATTTGTAATAACTAACCACACTTTTGAAGCAAAATAGTTCAAAACAGCTTTGTGCAATGATTTTCCTGAAAGTGTGCTTTTAATATTTTGTAATATAATACAAAGACATTCATATATTTTAAGTGTTTTAGGTCTCCAAGTACTTTTCTGGGGCCACTGTATACAACATAACTTAATGTGACATAGCTTAAAAGATAACAAAATATAAATGCATTAAGCTGACCTATACCTTAGAAACTGACTGCTCATACTGTCCTGTAGCCTTTGCGAGTTCATCTCTGGACTTGCTGAGGAGTTTGTCCTTTTCTGCCAGATCTTTCTTGGCCATTTCGAATTGACTTTGAATTTCACTGAATTTATTGACCTGATTCTTCATTTCCTTCTCTTGAGCTTGAAGACGGAGCTCTAGCTCAGAAACCCTTGACCTTAGATCTGAGCAGCATGAGAAACAAAAAAAAAAAGGAAACAAAATGTGTTAACCTAAGGCATATGAAGATTATCACTGTAGTGCTATACTCAAAAGCATATTTTCATGTACATAATAAAAAATAAATCCATCTGTAAGGTCAGGCCAACCTTGATTTATATTCTTAAGCTGTTCCATCTGCTGTGATCCAGCTGTGTCACTTTGAGTGCCTGATGTGAACGGCTGGTGGGGCTTAATTGGTGTGTCATCGTAAGACCATGACATCCCAGAGGGTCCGTTTCTTCTGCTAGAGGGTGTCTCAATCACAGTCAGAGACTGATGACTGTGTGTTTGGTCTTGCTGCCAAGGGAAAATTGAGGACCCTGCCTGCTGTCTTGCAATGTCTTTATGGCTCACTGTAGACTGGTTCAGAAGCTTCAAGTGTTACAAAAAAAGAGATGCATTTTTACTATTTAGTAAATTAATATAATAACGAGCAACAAGGCTCTTTTCACAAACAAAAAAATATGTATTTTACTTACTTTTACATGCATGACTTTGATTTCAGCTTCCAACCTTTTCCGCTCCTCAACCTCTCGATTGTACTTTTCCTGTAGGTCACTTAATTTTGAATCTGAAGACGGCAATTATTACAGTGTTACAGTGTGTTGCATCCATTCTGAATTGCATTTTTTGCTTTCTGTAACTTATATCTTACCCTGTTGCCAATGATTAGGTGTCGCAGGGGTTGCAAAAGTTTTCTGTGGCGTACTAAACGGTTGGATTTCTGAAGCATGTGAAGTTTGGGACCGTTCCAACTCATGCTTGTACCTGAATGAAAAAGGTCAAATTAAGCCAAGACGAGTCTTATTGTTTACAATATGTTCTAATACAGGACTGTCCAAACTTGGTCCTGGAGGGGCGGTGTCCTGCAGAGTTTAGCTCTAACTTGCCTCAACACACCTGACTGGAAGTTTCTATAGCCTTGTCCAAATACCCACACTTGCAGTCTTTGCACTTGACCACTTGACTACTTATATGACGTACTTCCTGTATTTGGCCCAAGTGTTCAAGTGAGGATGAAGACCACAAGTGTGTGTCGAACTTTTCATTAAGACCGCAAGTGTGGGTATTTGGACAAGGGGAATGCCTAGCAAGAGCTTGATTAGCTGGTTCAGGTGTTTTTAATCAGGGTTGGAGCTAAACTCTGCAGGACACCGGCCCTCCAGGACCGAGTTTGGACAGCCCTGTTCTAATATTTGAAGGTTATTCAATTATTTACTTATACATAAAAACTAATGATGATATTATATTGACAGCTTAGGCACAACTAAGTATTTAACACTGTCCACTTACTTTTTGACCTCTTGTTCTAGTCTATCAATCTGCTTCTTGCACAAATTGAGTTGACCCTCCAGATAATTCACCTGTTGCTCCTTTGTTTGGATGTCATGTGCAAGTTTCTGTCTAGACTTTTCCAGACTTTCACAAGATTCTACCAAAGACTGATTTTCCCTCTTAAGGGCAGATGCTTCACTTTTCTCACTGTCCATCTGTAACGAAATATAATACACATATGATGCAAATTTAACGGCATTCATTAAGATGCGATAGAGGAAATCCACTCCATTGTTTCTCAGGTAACTGACCTTTTGCCTCTGTTTTTGTAATGTAGCTTCAAGGGAATCCAGCTGAAACTGTTTCTGCTGTCTTTCCTTCTTTATCTTGTCAAGGTGCCCTTCAATCTCTTGGATCTTTTGTAAGGCCTTTGCAGGAAGGCCATCCTTCCACTCTTCTACAGCCCAGCTCATACTTACTTAAGATGCTGTGTTGCTCACCAAAGACACTCTGGCATGCTGTGAAAAATGCAATAAGGTAGACATTTGTTCTGTAAAACCCTCAATCACACAGCTTAAACATTATAGAATCATGTACAACATTAAACAGACTATACAACTGAAGCTAAATAATATAAACAATTGATCATATATAATACAATAATATACACAATTAAAATTATTTAAAAATTCAATTATTATTACAGTTCAGTGTGTTCAGAAGTATTCACACGTTTTGATACAATTTAATGTTTCTTCAATTTTCTTATAAACTGTGTTTTTCATTCACCTAATATGGTGCACTATCAGATCATACAACAATCTCAAAAAATATTTATTATAAATATTGGCAAATTTAGCATTCAGTGCAGTTAATAAATTGAGAATACAGCATGGTTTCAAACTGATTTTTAGCACAATCGATTAAAATGTCACCAGTCTGACAAAAAAAAAAAAAAAACTTACTGGGGTCACAAAATAATCATATTTCGCATTTTATGCATCTATTAAATGTTGTAGTAATTGAGTTAGCTACTAACAGAAACGACTTAAAATAAGTAATTATAATACATTTATTTATGTGACAGAGCTTACATGTCACAAGAGTTTACTAGTACATAAATGTATTGTAAAAATAACTTTAAAAAGAAAAAATAACGTTATAGATAGCATTAGGACATGCATTGTAACGTTAATTGTTTTGTACTCCTATCACGTGAAATTTGAAAAGACCTTTAGCATGAAAAGAGTTTGCTTTAGTTTCCATAAATAATGATAATAATCATAAAAATTAGAATCACGGTTGTGAGAGATTATAAAAGAGGTTTATTTCATTTATAAATAAACCCGGCTATTATGATACAATACGAAATCATCACGCGGTTGGTTTTAACACATCAATCAAATAAATTTATAACGACAAAGACTTTAGACATATCCCACTCTCAACAATAATATACTACATTCTACAAAAAAACACATAATCTTACCAGAACTAAAGTAAGAACCCCTCACGGTTACTCCGCGATTACCCTAAGGTTCTTCTTCTCTTGTGTCTGTTTTTCAGTTACTAGAGTATAAAATTCAAAGAGTTCAACGTCGTTGTTGACGGAATGCAGCGTCGTTATTGGTGCGTTTGACAAATGACGCAAGAACATATCGGGCTCTGATTGGACACTCCTATCTATTCGAATGTAACTCCACCCATTATTTTCTAAATAATTATTTCGGCCCTGAAACGAGTGACTGTCGGGCGGTTGAGTTATTTAGCTCTCGTCCGAACATGCAGACAACTGACAGATGCAGAAAATAACGCACACACACCTGAAGACAAATAACGTTAATCGCTTCAAAGGAATTCATCCTCTTTCTTTAATATTCCTATTTACTAAAAAAAAAAACTATTTTAAGCATCGTTCTTGTCTGTATTATTGCTGGCTTTGTGCAAACTGGTTATCATAATAAATGCACCACATGTGATTTGTGATTATGTGCAATGATTTCTAATCCCTTGCTGTTATGCACTTCTGAATGGTTACATTTCTGTTCCTGTTCGTCTTCCTGAATGCAATGATCTGTGGGAAGATGAATGGCGCCATGCTGCTTCCATAGGGCTCTGCCAAACACGTGCTCTTGGTCATAGCAGATGGTATGAGAGCCATATATGGATTTCATCACCATGGTTACAGCCAAGGATGCGACACAGCTCATGTAGAGACTTATGACAAAAACAATAGCAGATGATGGTGATTACAAGTCGCTGGATGTATTTAGTGATACAAAGATAAATGTGTTAATTTGATAGATATCTATATGTATATCTCTATATATCTATATACGGTTGTAAATAAATTGTAATCAAAGTCGTCAGTTTTTGTCTTAAGGAATTTATTACTTTAGTGTCACATTAAAATTTTGCATGTGGCAGTCTGCATATTTTTTTAATTTCCTCTTTTTTTTTTTTGCCCATGCTACCTGTCAAAATTGTACAATACTAAACAAATAAACTTTTAACAAACAAATAAGCAATAATGAAAGTAACACTATGAAATGCACTGATTGAATGGAAGTCCAATATCTTAACACTGATCAGTGCAAAACAATATCCATGCAAACAGACAAGTAAAACAGAATCAGTGATCCGAATCCTTCGCCTTATTGAGAATATATAAATGATAGACATTCGTTAGCTATTGAAAACAAGAATATTGTTGCTACATGAGAGGGCAAAATATTGGTTAAAAACCTGACATATATTGATATGATTCTTAAATCTTAGCCCTTCTTTACAGAAAACAGTGCAGCACATTTGTGCAGACCATCCAAGCAACAAAATATTTCAGACTCGGGCCATCTATTTACAAACCAAAAATTCATTTAAATGACATCTCAGATGAACAGACAATTTTGACATCACTTTGTTTTAATATTCCCAGGAGAGGTATAAGACACATGCCAGCGTTTGATGCATATTCCTCCATGCGTTCCCATTATTTCTGCTCTTCCATGTCCTTCTTAATCTCAGCGATGTATGGGTGGTCTTTACCGTGGGCAACATCCATGATTGCAAGAGCCTGTGACAAATTCATCCACAACAATTTGTAAAGCCTAAATGAGTCTAAAAATATCTACAGCAATTCATATTTGCCATTTGGATTTTAAAAGGGACACCCACATCTAATACTGCATTAGTATAACATTAGCACTGCTAGCATCTTACCTTCTTTAAAGCTTTAACTCCTTGTGTCCTCTTCTCAAGTCCTAGGTACAATCTTCCAAGTTTCAGGTACATAGAAGCCACATTCAGTGAGTAAGGAGGATAGTGCACACTAGAACAATGTGGATTGAATACTATTAATAAAGTGGACCAACTGTAAGTTCATTATTATTCAACTTTTAAAATGTAAAAAATGTAAGACATTTAGAGAGGAAACGCACTGGGCTCAGCATTACCTGTAGGGCTGGATAATTTTCTCGCCATATTTCATTGCTCCATCCCAATCCTGCATATAGAGACAGACTCCCATTGTCTGATACATCATGTGCAACATGTACACATTGGTTTCGGCAAAGATCGAACCCATTTTCTCCAGGCTTATTTCACAGATTTCCAGCAGTTCACTGGGGGGTACTTAGCAGTTAAGGAACTTCCACAAAACCTCCACTTCAGGACATATACAAGATACAAGATGTACATTTTTTTCTTTTATATTTTTGAAAGAAGTCTCTTATGCGTAAAATACAGTAAAACAGTAATATTGTGAATTATTTTTATAATTTAAAATAAGTGTTCTCTTTTAATATAGGCTATTTTAAGAAAGTAATTAATTCCTGGCAAAGCTTTCATGCCAATCTTGTTACATGATCCCTCAGAAATAATTTTAACAAGCTGATTTAGTGCTCAAGGAACATTATTATTATCATCAGTGTTAGAAATAGTTTGTGAAAAATGTGATAAATTTAATGCATCTTTGCTAAATAAAAGTATGGATATCTTTCACAAAAAAACATATATACTGACCTCAAATTTCTGAATGGTAGTGTATTTTGTCTTTGACAAAGTGGTAGCTTGGGGTTACACAAGTTAAGCACTACTGATTTTCTGCTGTCTTTTCTCAGACTTCACAAGCAATTGTGAATAGTAAAAACACTAGTGTATGTTTTGTGACAATATATCCCAAAGGCTAGTATGGCTTCGTCAAGACTAAAAATATCCCGCTGCCTCTAGATTGCCCCATATTCAAAATATTGCACAATAGTGCAGAAATATAAATGTTCTCACACACACACACACACACACACACACACACACACACACACACACACACACACAATAATCCAAAAGAGAAAAGGCCAATGAAGGATATTTTTGTAGTGCTTCGCTCTCCTGAACTCCTCAATGACATTTCTGGCATACATCACCATCTGCTTGATTTCCTCTTGCTCTGGAGGTGTGCTAAGCTTCTTTCGGATCTCCATTTTGGCTTTGTCCTAAAAAAAAATAAGAGCCTGTTATTCCACACATATCAACTTGAATTCTTTAATTAATATTCATTTTTATTCAAACCATAACTACACATTTTGCCATGCTCCAAAATGCACACACACACAAAAATAATCATGTGCAACAAACTGAAAATGATTTCCTATGCCTTTCTACATCAGACAGGTTTCTGAAAACCTGTTTATTACAGGGATAAAATGACACTCACTTTTGATTTAGAGGTGCATTCTTTACAGTCACATGTGAAGAAGTAAGAATCTCTCAACCGTTCAATTCGATCCTCTGTTGGATACAGGAGGTCAATATAACTGTTGAAGATCTATTCAAGAGAAACAAAGAGGACTGTCACACAAAATACCACAATTAAATTAGTAATGAGATGATTATGCAATACTCATAAGATGATAGATGTCAGGAAATTCAAAACTGACTTACCAGAAGATATTACAAAGCATTTTATATTTTACATCACAATTGAATGACAATGATGACTATAATTCTACAGTAAATAATACATAAGGAAGACTTCTTGAATGTGACAACAGCGAATCATATTAGGTCTGGCCAGTCAGTAAAGACTGAAGAGCTGTTGCTGTTTAGCAAAAACTGAGCATTATATTGAGCGTATAATTCAGGTTACTTTTTATTCATGAACAGTGAAATAAGCAGCAATGTTTTTTTTATAATGACTCATGTTCATGGTGTGGCTCGTCTCACCTCTTCTTCAGGGCTGATGTCCTGCACGGCTCTCACCTCGGCCACTGTACCTTTATACGTCACAATCACATTTGGGCTACAGCTGTGGTTCATCAGAGCAACGCTACCACAAACAACAACAATAAAAACATTCAATTACTCTAAAGTATTTAACATATTGAGATCATGGCAATGGTTTTGATTTCTATGAACCTTACTCTGGAAATACAGCAGAACCCAAATGAGACAGCTCCTCATCTTCAATGGTGAAGCCATTACAGTTCACCTATGGTGTAGAAAGGGAGGATTTAGCATGCGTTCGCCTGAAATGTCCCCTGCATTAATGTCATGGACACACAGACTTGGAACTTTCCATGAATGGAGCATACGGATTGGAGTGAAAAATATTTCATGTTATATTTTTCAAAACGCTTAATGCTTTCATTCTTCCATGGAACATAAAATTAAACGCTAGACTGAATGACAGTCAAAGTCACTGTTCACTTTGATCACATCTTTTTCCATACAGTGAAAGTAATAGACTCATTCTCTTTAAAGTTTACCCAAAATTGAGAATTCTGTCATCGATTACTTGACTGTTTTCTTCTGTGGAACATAAAAGAAGATATTGTTTAATTACCACTGGCACTGAAAACAATGAGATATTTCTCAAAATATCATTCTCTTAAGTTCCATAGAAGAAAGCAAGTCATACAGTTTTTACAGGTTGACTAAATTATGACAATTTTTATTTTTGGGTGACGTTTTGGAAAAACATTTTGGAATTTTTTTATTTTATTTTATAAGGTATGCATTCATAACTTAATGAATACAATATAAAACTTAATTTTATATATATAATACTTAGTCTGCAAGATTTCGATAGCAATATAAAATAAAGCAGCAATGTGATTATTTTAATTTGGCTTTTTATTCAGTAGCAAAAAAGTCAGCTAGTTTCAAATTTTAAAAATTCTGTTTATTTTTTCCATGATTTAATGCATTGTTTCATTGGTGCATATCCATGAAATCATATCAAATAAAATGATAATTCCTCTATATTCATTTAGTAAAAAAGTTCCAAAGTTATACAGAAATGAAAATCAGTTAGCTTTACCTGAGCGAAGAGTTCAGTAAGTGCTGCATTATCAGGAAAATCGAGATGTCGGGAGTAAAAGTGGTGTAGTGCAGCAATGTCTGTATCATTCATCTCATTCTTCTCATTATCTAGCTTGTCCAGATCTGACAAACATGCACAGAAAAGGCAATTAACATTTCATATTCAAAAAGGCTCCAGTCTTACATTATCCAAATTATGCCACAACTTGGACAGAATAATTATAACTGAATTTCAAGGCAACAGCAGAAATAGCTCT